TGTACCTGAAGCTCCCGGGACGCCTCAAAAGCAGAAAAGTCCGAATCGGATTGGCGCTTGACATGTTTCTTGACCCGCTACATGGCCGTCGAAAGGAAAGGCAATAGTTTGATAGTAGTAATGGAAAGGATGAAATCAGTCGAAATTGAAGACAAAAATGATCCAATTATAAAGTTTGTTTGCTATGGTGGATATTCAAAATACCAAGGTTCGTTCTTCAAGCCCCAGGTAGCTCAGCGGTTCAAAAGCCAGCTGCTCAACAAATACGAAAGCAAGAATCCCGACAAAGTCACCAAAATCAACCACCAACCCCTCGAAATCTCGACTGGTCCCATCATTTCAGCCTCCCTCAAAGTTTCCTCCAACTTTTTCGCCATAGTCTGCATCCCAAAAACCTCTTTTGCTCGTGACTTCGCTCTAGCAGCCAATGCTTTTCGCGCCTCTTCATCCATGACGCAGATCTCTTGAATAAGCACCTTTGCCCAAACATCTTCTTCGGGTTTGACCGACCAGCCTGTTCTGCTCTTCGCGGGTTCTGAAAGGACGGTTTCAACAGGACCTCCCGAATCGCAAGCAAGGACCGGAAGACCGCAGATCATAGCTTCCACCGGTACGATACCGAAATGCTCGTTCGTTGGGGTATAAAGCATCGCAATGGTCGACGAACTGGTAAGGAGATATGTTCGTTGGGCTGTCGTGAAATTCAGGACGAATAACACATCTGGGTCTGCTGGAATCGTGTCTGGAAGAAGAAATGAAAAGGAATCGGGGGAATTCGAGGGAGGGGTGACGATGTTATAGGATAGAGAGCGATTTTTGACGAGAAAGACCAGCCTGGTCAAGCATTCAATGTTTTCGTCGAGACGGGGGTCGTAACCGCCGCCTAGAACCAAACGAGCATTTTGGTGAATTGAGGGAGAGGAAGCTCGGAGCTGGGCGAATGCTTTGACAGCCAATGCGACATTCTTCTTTATTTCGAAACGATTCAGGGATAGCAGTGTCGGACGCGGTCTATATGACACGTCAGCAAAGGCCGAAGGAAGAGAAGAAGCGACGCACGAAGCAATGACGCCGATATCTGGATCCTGCATATCTATTCCCCCATCTGCTGTCTCGTACATCGAAATGTTGATACCAGGGTAAACGACCTTGGGGTCCTGCGGTATGGACGGTAGATAGGCCTTGAATACACGGGCGGTAAATCGTGAATTGGCAAGAATAATGTCGGATTGGCCTGTTTCTATCGTCAGCGACATCAAATCAAGCTCTATATTAGATGTACCTGTCGTGAATTCTTCCAACCAATCCATAGGAAACCGATAGATCCTCTTCAGCAAGCTTCCCTTCTTCAACGACATCCCTTCAACAAATGCAGTCCCGTCTGATAGTAATTTGTCTGGGAAATGACAATAAAAGACCACCCGTGTCCCGCCTATAATCCGAAGCAGCGGAATACACGTCGAGAGCTGGTCGACGAAATACACGTCATATGTCGGTGCCCATGGCGCCAGCAAATAGCTTGTCAAATGTAATTGTCGTGCATGAGCCAGGAGAATATGGAATTTCCCAAGCAGAGATCTTGGGAATGGAGGTCGTATATAGCGAACCGACAGGGTCCCTGTAGCAAATCGGCTTTACGGGATGAATAAAAGCAGAATAATGACGCACCGTCTCTGGTTTCCTCAAAGCAATGGCTTTTGTCATGGTGAGACGTGTAGACGTCGACTGAATGGCCCAGAGATTGCAGCCCAAGAGCCGCGTCGACAACAAGTCGTTCTGCTCCGCCTACAGGGAAATGTTGGCATTAGGCTGGACTACATTTGAGAAATAATGCTGCAGCACCGATTCCGAGGTCTGGGTGAATAAACGCGATTCGTAGTGGAGGCATGAAGGAAGCAGGAATCTGAATCTCGATTGATCATTTTTGGGAATGACACGTTGATGACACGTCGTCGATTACATATGTTGGACATCTCCGGATTGATGTAGATGCCGGCGCTACCTGAGAATAGTCCGCTAAGTACTGTAATCGCTAGAGGAAATACCGGGTACATATAGTAGATGTAGAGAAGAGACATAATAAAACCAATCGCCCTCATCAATATCTGCTTCTGCTTCGCCATCCCTCTTCAGTGAATTAACCCCTTCCACGATGTATCTCAATGATTCCTTCAAAGAGAGTGGAATACTGTGTCCAGTGACCTGCGCCACAAACTCTACATGCTCACAGCACTCTGGAATTGACCGGTTCCATATCCAAAATGTAACTCGAACGGACCTGAACAGCTGCAAGACCCTGCAATCCAGCATCCCGAGTTCTGGTCGAATCGCACCACGACATTGAATCATCAATAGTGGGCGAAGCTGGATAGATTTTGAACGAGAAAATCTGCTGCTGAGATTCTCCGAGCTGGAAAGGACTCTTGAAAGTATTAGTCGCTGGCATTATCCGTCCCTTGCCAAATCTGCTATTTTTCGAGGGCGTGGGTTTTTTACAGCATTGCGTAAAAAAGCTGACGCAAAGTGACGCAAATGCTGAAGCAAGACTTACGCAAGAGTTTACGCAAGGTGAAGCAAGGGTGAAGCAAGAGTGAAGTAAGGTCAAACAGTGAAAAACTATTTTTGAGGAGTATTCATAGATCATAGAGTATGCTTTTTTGGGTGCTATAGACCAGCTGAGACAGCTCATACATGTTCCAGAAACGTAGCATTCAGTTCTTGGGTAATGTGACCAAGGGTGACAATGTGACAAGGTCGAACCTGTCCTTAACCTTCATGCTGTGTCTCTGTAGGCTCTCTATCAGCATTGATACCATTCCCATACTACTCAACTAATATTCCTCCACTGAGCGGGGGATTTTTTTTTTTTGACCATAGCCACCACTGCGGCGCTGCTCACCGAACAATGCCGCCATTACAGACTACAAGACCCCAGTAGGACTGGGAAAACCCGAACCCAAGGCCCAATCACCGCCACTAAAGCCACAAGTGCAGCCGAAAATTGCCAGGAAGCCAAGATAGTATCATTTGCATCATATTGCAGTGAATAATATCTCAATTACATGTTAGAACTTAAACTTAAATCCTACTTCTCAGTATCGTATAAAACGACGAGCACGGTAAGAGGTGCACTGAGTGGTAATTCGGACAAGTATGTGGGTAAAGAAACGAGATTGAAAGACTAAAGAATACAATATTCTAACTACTGTTTAAATACTAGTAAACATGCGACTACTGTTCGTTTTCCACCATGTAAGACATCCTACAACCATGCTTTTTAGCAACCTGTTCCCGTGCCTTCGTTATTAAGTGCCTTCGGGTTTCCACGCCTGTTTCCTGTTTCACTACAATGCGCTAGTTGTCTGTTCACCGTATGTTATTGTGTCCAAATGCCTTGAGGCTTTAATCTCCGTGCCTCATGTTGTCCTATGACCTTTGTGCTGGATCAAGCATGTTGTGCTTCTATCTTTTATCTTATCATCACATGTCCTTCTTGATCCTATCAATCTAAGTCCTCGTTATCTTGACATACGTCATTTGTTGCTGCTTTATGAACTAAGTCCAACAACGTTGGTAGTTTTGCTGACGTTTGAACGATGACAGAAACCTCGGGTTCTGACATTACATCAAAAAGACAGTGTTTTCTCTCAATTTCAACCCCCAAATGGCAAGCAGAACTTATGGAGATTGAAGCAGACCTAAGCAGACCTGACGCAGACTCAAGCGAGAGTCACGCAGACCCAAGTAACACTTACGCAAACCCCGGGTAAAAGTGAAGCAAACCTGAAGCAAGGTGACGCACAGGTGAAGCATATCTAACGCAAAGTGAAGAAGTGGTTGAAAATGAGAATTAAGGTATTACAAAGTCTATAGTCCCCTGTTTAACAACTGCTGACCCCGATATCCATGTTAGATGTCTTTTATTGAGTCAAACAGTCAGTCCTGACAGATTTGGTGATAGGTAGCAGTCTCTGTCAGCCATGAAATGCTACTTTCAGGACACTGATGGTATCTATCAGTCATCTTGAAACATCTACAATGTTGAACTATATCCACAGCAGCCAGAAGATAGCTTGAATTGAGAGGAAGTTGACGATGACTATGCTGACAAATATGTCCCAAAGGGGAAGTTGAAGCATGAAACATCATTGAAGCAAGCTGAAGCAAAGCTTACGCAAACTGACGCATTTGTGTTTGCGTCAGTGATTTGCGTGAAAATACCATGTCCCATTTTTCGAAGTTAGACTTCGACTTCGATGACCGCCACAATGCCATGCTGAACGGCGCTTTGCTGACCATCAAAGCCTGAAATTCGACTGCCTTGGCATCGATCTGCAAAGCTTCTTACCGACTGGTGGCAAGTGTCGCTGGACGTCCCGCTGTAGCTTGAAGATAACATGTTGCACGGATGTGTTTGCATGCTCCGAACCGGTAGCGCCAGTCGGGGCACGTGCAACTGCTCGATGTAGAATTAATCATATTGAGCCGTACAGCATGCAGAGCCGGGGGTGTTGGGGAAGGCTTCCGGCCAGCGGCGCAGACAAATGTATAGATGGTATTAACGAGATTTGATCCAAGTGGATCAAGATCCATCAGCTTGGCAATGTCCTGGGCTCGAACATCTCTTTTTTCATCTATTGTAGCGAAGATGACAGTGGGAATGAGCTTGAGGGCCCTGGTCATGATTCTGGTGATTCTGAGGCATCAGGATCGAATTTATACAGTTCGCCGAGCCGAGCATTTCGTGGTGTATTGTATTTCAGTGACAATAGCATCCTCCATTCCCTTATATGGAGATAGATGCTTGTCTTCCGCCAATTGTCTTTGTGCGTTTCAGAAGAATCGATTCCAGCGAATCACCCGGTCATCTGGCAGCATTCGAAGCGCCGGGATCTTGACGCTCTCGTCCTGGAACAACGAAAAGAATCAGCAAGAATAGCATGAGATTCGCTAAACAAAATGAGGATTTCACAGACTTGTGAGAGCACTCGAACAAAAAATGCCGCCTACCCGGATTGAACGAATGACCTTCTCATAAGAATGTTAACAAACATACAAGTGAGACGCGCTACCACTACGCCAAGGCGGCACAACAATATATCTTTGGTGTGCCATTATCACGGACCCGAGGACTCGGCGAGTATCCCGGCCCGCCTGCGCTCCGCTCGATCTGGACCAATCCAGAGCATCTCAACGATCTCATCTGGCGTGCCTCGCATCAAATGCCGCTCGTCTACCGCATCCGTCTAGAATCCTTCTGGACTCTGTCATGCGTGCTAAATCATTTCTAGACTTACTGCGCCTCTACCTGGACTCCGTTTGCGCCCTCTAGATCCCGTTTCGTCTGTCTGGGTTCTTGGCGCCATGTACGTATAAATTCGGGCGGTCAATCAACAGGTGTCTCCAACGAAATATTCCCTGCCCATGGCTTCATTATTGCGCACCACGTTATCAAGTTCTACATCCAGACTGGCGTCCAAGTCGCTCATACCGAGAAGGACAAACACGATATGGATTCATCCAGCGACTAAACCTATGACTCGGACTGATGTAAGTACATCCTGCTCGTCCTGTAAAATTCCCGTTGTGTTTTGACTGGCTATTTTCTGCAGCATCTGCCATTCACATATAGAAACAAACGAGCCTTTACGATCAAGTTTGTCGCCTATTTGGGTTTGGGCGCCGCGATCCCGATTGTTGCTTGGGCATGGCAATGGTGAGTTATCTCCGTGTTTGTATTGTTGTCTTCGACAGACATGCTCCGTCTTTGTTTTGTCTCCTCTTTCCCCTCCCCATATTGATACGTCTGCAGGTATAAACCCGGAGGATACAAGAATTCCAAGGTCACGAGTTGAAGAAATCTCTGAACTTTGCCTTCGGATGAGATCCTTAAACTTTGCACCGTTAGACACTGTAATATACAGGACTGTAAATGTAGAGTTCACGCAAGTTGAGCCACCGATAAAGATTCATATATTGGACGAAATGACCGTTGTATGACAAAGAAGAATAAATTTACATCATCGGAAGGACTGCACAAGACTCGGGACTCGGGATCTGATTTCATACAAGATTACAGGCAGACGAATTCGACTCGAGATCGATCTGCTTCTATGATTCAGATATCATTCGCAGATGAAACTCATGCAAACCCACCTTGAACGACGTTCACTGCTCCTCAGGCGCAAGTGCGTCATACTCGGGGCAGAGCGCCTCCCAGTCTGGTGGCGTGATCTAGGACGAGGCCCCATCAGTCACATAGCCAAGTTCTGTAAAAAATAATGGACATACCTGAGACTGTGGGCCTTGGCGATTGAGCGCTGGCGACTCTGAAAACACGATAGCCAATCCGGCCTTAACATGGATTTAGTATATTTCTCAAAGAGAAGATAAAGAATGCCATACCTCAAGATGCCAATCGATGTGGCTAGTTGAATGTCAGCATAATGTTGGTAGTTATCAACATAACGATACGGACCAATGCTAGGGAGTATATGAGCAATTATTCGTCTGTTTATGAAAAGGACTCACCAAGAACCAAGCTCCTGGGTTATCCTAGACACAGATGAGAGTAGGTTGGAGACTTGAAGGAAAGAACTTACGGTGAAGAAGCGGAAAGTCGTGTTTCCGCCGTTGACTGAAAGGTTGATTAGTCAGAGTCTGTCCTATGGAGAGAAGGGTAAAGGCCACTGACTGGGAACAACATCTCGTCTAGGTGGATTGACAAAGTTGGTAACATTCGAGTTGGCAACACGGACGATATCAAAGTTGTGACCGTGGACTGTAAGACATGGTCAGTGAGAACAAAACCGGAAAGGACAAAAGCCGGCTTACGATGGAATGGATGAGCTGGGAAAATAATTCAATGCTGAGTACCAAAAGCTAAACAAAACACTGAAAACGTACCACCAGTTCCAGGAATTGAGATTTCTATTCACTTAAGTGAGCATTTTCTTGAAGTAGAAGGTACAAATTGCATACCGATGAGCTTGTTCGTGGGCAAGGGGAAGATCTGGTCCGAAGGCAAGAAATCTTCAGGGTTTCCAGCTCCACTCAAAATCTGCAGAAGGACGGGGACAGAGGGCGACACGTATGAGATACCGTTGATGTCGAAGAAGGGCGGGTTTGGTTGAGAGATGTTCAGAGTGTAAGCGACATCGGGGGGTCCAGCGCCGAGCTATCGTGGGATTTCCGTTAGTCACAGAAGGTTTCGAGTGGGAATGAGAACATACTTTTCCGGGATGTTCCGAGGCAATCGGCTGGATAATAAAACTCTGAGATCTAATATCTATCAAGAGAAGTTGGAAGTACATACGTGCATCTGAGCGTCATCGAGCTTGAGACCCGGGACGTTGACGGTGGTAGGTTCGACTGCTGGAGCACCGACGTATCGGAGAATTGCCAATGTGAGATTGGGGTTGACTAGGAATTTCAGTTAGGTTGGAAAGGGAAATATAGCGCGCGGGACTCACAGTTAGGGTTTCCGGCAGGCGCTCCTCCGGTTGGTCTGGATTGAGGGATCAATCAAAGTCGAAGAGGAAAACAAGGAATTAACGCACGGTGCTCGGATCCAGTAGTTGTCGATGGGTTGAGTTGCGTTCAGGATGACCGAGACACGTTGAGCTGATGAAACGTCAGTGTAATCCTAAAGTCGAGGCTGGGAAGCATACCAGCATAAATATCGACATTCTGGACCAGAACGGGATCGTGCTCGACACCGTCGAATTCCATCGCCGCGAGCATGTGGTTGTCGACGGAGAATGTCACGAATGGACGGCAAGAGATTTGAATGAGACGGAATCTACACGTTCGTGAGATTTCTGCTTTTTTGCCAAGACTATTCAATTCCAAGAAATACCAACCTGTATCGTTTTCCTTGGGTGACGCTGATGACGGCGTAAGGCACGAGCGGCTGAGCCTCATTTAGTCTGTGGCGTATAGAGGGTGGAAATATGACTTACGCCACCGTTGTATCGTCCAACACCGTTGATCAAACCAGAGTCGGGAATGCTGTTCGCGATTAATTTAGGCAGTATAATGATGAAAGCTGACGTACGGTACAGTCCCAGACTGGAAGAAGTTGTTCTGAGCAGCAGGGGCCAAATCGTGATACCAGTCTGCCAGAGTGATAATAGTAGAATCATCGTCGACATCGTACAGATGTTTGAGAGGGTCATTGGGATCTACAGAGATAGCTTTAGCTTTTGAATTTGCACGATTCCGCAGGACTTGCCGTAGACGATGAAAGCGCCTCTGAGACCATCGCAGTACTATTCAGAACCGTCAGCATGCTTTCTTGTCCCCCTTTTTTTCCGACTAGCCTGTGTGGACAAGTGACTATGGTACCAGTAACTAGAATAGCATTAGCTTTAGAAATAAGCACCGGTAAATTCGACTTACTTGCCGGTTTGTCCCGCGGTGCTAAATTGGTAGTGGAAGGTCGTGTTCGGGGCGATGGGGCACTAGACATGAATCAGTTTATGAACATTGCTTATCGTCCTGGTGCAGACTTGCCTGGTTCACAAAGGATGGACCATCCATTCCCGAAGTACGAGCCTGGAAGAAACCGTGCCAATCTGGGCTAGTCAGTATTGAATTCTAACCAAGTTAAAAAACTTACGGATAGAGGTACTCCTCCTCATCCCAGGGTCCGACAACTCATTGCGCATAGCGATATCAACGCTATCGCCTTTTTGCAGCTTAAAGGTTGGACCAGGGAATGTTCCGTTGGGAACAATGGCGCTGTGCAAAAGGTAGGTTGGATTTTATTGCAATGCCAAATCAACTTACTGGCGAGAGAAACCATCGGGAGCGATGATTTTGTTGCTGATCGAAAGGTCGAACTTTCGGAGAGCGGCGAGCGCAGAGGGCAAGAGCGCCAGGAGAGAGAGAGAGATCAAGACCATGATGGCGACGGCGACGAGGATAATGAGACATTTATCGACATGGTTTTATAGTCCTGAGAGGTGAGAACACGTTTTGTCAGGATAGAACACCAATGCAATGTCTTTTTGTCAGGACGCCAATGACGTTCAATGGTTTTCGTCGAAGGCGTGGATTCTTGTGAAAGCGTCAATTCGAGTGTAGGGACTAAAGAGAGAAAGCTGACGGGACCGTACATTTCCTGAGAATTTGGCCGAGTGTCTGGGAACCATATCAGGTTGCGATGTCTGGGAATTACCTGAGTGGGAATCATCCCAAATATCGAATTCGGTCAAATCCGGACAGCGAGCGACGCTCCTGCTCCACGTTATGGGAATCCGGTACGATTTAGAGTGAGAGGCCATTGTGCCGCAAGGGACGGGAGCGACTATCGTGTTGGACCGGGGAAAATCTTCACACGAGTCCTTTTGGCGGTTTCCCATCAAGTGGTTTTGGCGTCATCAAACTTCTCACAAGCCTTTCAAATGCTGATGTTTCAGTGGATATTCAAAAAATGGAGATACAGGCTCACTCCAAGACCTCGTTAGGTGTCCAGGGAGCCCGAGGACGAAATATCCAAATTGGCTTTGAGCAAATTTACGTGGTAAAAGCATTTACGCCGACCAATGCTGCGCAAAGGATTGTTGATGGCGATCCTACAGCTCCTTTCAGAACTCTTCGTGGAGTCAGGTAGAATCATGTACAGAATAACGTGGCGGCCTGGATTTCGATCTTTTTGTCGGGGAAAAAAGGTACAAGACATGATCACGTTGCCGTGTTGTGTTGGCTCTATTCACCGAGACAAGTCAAAGGGGAGCCTCTTTGGTGAGTTTTATGACCATAACTGACAAGAAGATGACAAGCAGCTGAATGGGACTTCGAGGAGAGCAAGGAGATCAAGCAAGGTACTAAGTGGACGATGGTCTGGCTGCGCTCCTTTGTCTCTGCGAGACAGAAGTGACTCAATGAAGCTTGAAAAATGTCAGATTATCGACTAGCTGCTCACTTTTCACGATTTCGGTGTAGAATGAGTATCCGTCGGTGAGCGCTTGGCTCCAACCAGCGTCTGTCACGATCTGTGACCTGTCACGGTGTGAAATCAAAAAGCAAGTGTACACGTGAAGTCGGCTCGGCGGTCTAGACTTGTACATTTTGTGGCCCGCTCTT